GGTGGTGCAGCCCATGGTGAAGCCGGCTGTGCCCTGCAGCCATGGGGGGTCACGGGGAGCAGAGACCCCCCTGCAGCCCGGGGTGGACAACACACCGGAGCAGGGGGATGCCCAAAGGAGGCTGTGACCCCGTGAGCAGCCCACGCTGCAGCAGGAGAGAGGAGAGAGGAGACAGGAGAGGAGACAGGAGAGAGGAGAGAGGCTGGAGAGAGAGCTGGAGAGCCTGTCCATGGAGAGAGGAGACAGGCTGGAGCAGGTTTGTTGGCAGCAGAGGTGACCCCGTGGGGGACAGGCTGGAGCAGGGTCTCCTGAAGGAGGGCCCCTGGGGGGGGGACCCACACAAGGGGAGGTCCTGAACTGCTGCCCGTGGGAAGGACTCATGTTGGAGAAGTCTGTGGAGGACTGCCTCCTGTGGGAGGCACCGCACACTGGAGCAGGGGAAGAGATTGATGAGGAAGGAGCGGAAGACACACTGCCTGATGAACTCGGCAGAACACCCATTCTGCATCCCCCTGCACTGCTCGGAGGGAGAAGGTAGAGAAAAGCAGGAGTGAAGCTGAGCCTGGGAAGAAGGGAGGGCTGGGGGGAAGATGTTTTAAGATTTGCTTTTATCTCTCATTACCCTACTCTGATTTACTTGAGAATACATTAATTTCCCCAAGCTGAGTCTGTTTTCCCCACAATGGTAATTCTGAGTGATCTCTCCCTGTCCTTATCTGACCCACGAGCCTTCTGTCATATTTTTCTAGCCCTGCACAGCTGAGGAGGGGAGTGAGGAAGTGGCTTGGTGGGCACCTGGGCACCTACACAGTTATACTGCAGAAACACTAAATTAAGGATTTCAGGTTCATGAGCTACAAATGAAAAATTGTGCAGCCTGCTTTTAGCTTTTAAGGCTAGCATACTGGCTTACATGAACTGCCTTCATGTGCTCTTGTAATCAGAATGTTCTGAAAATGAAGTTCCTTAAAAAAACCCAGTGATTTCTACATGTTTCTTCATCATTTTTGAAGAATGGCTCTCACGAACAGAATCTTTTCTTTATCAGTGCACTGACTAGGAGTGAACTGAATACCCGTGTTACGCAGGGACAGGCAGCTTTGAGATCAGTCACATTCAAGGGCAGGGCCTAAGAAACCATCTCAGCTTTCTTGAGAGGTCCTTAGCCTACAAGGACCACAGTGTGTAGACCAATGCAGCTACAGGTGAAGTAAAACCTTGATGAATTTTCCTGCTCCATCTTATTCACCCGAGGCAATTCACTCCAGTCACATGGGAACGTTCACTGACTTCACTGAGGTATTTTTTTGAGGAATAAAATTACTCAAGAATATTTACAAGATCAGAGCTCTACATCCATAAATTGTCAGTTTCAGTCTGTGATAGACCAGGAAAAAATACTGAAAAACGTTAACCTTTATGCCCTCCAACTTGTTAGCTACCAAACGTATTAAAGTCTAAGCACGCCAACGACGAAGTGTGCTGAAACACACCTACAGATACCTCACCCAGCCTGAAGTACCCCACAGTACTGATTTACCACAGCGCTCCCATGAAAGTACACCATTACTCCTTGTGTCAGAGGTCTGACAAGCATCATTTCACCCAGGCTAGCTCGAAGTTCTAAAAAGGCAGGTAATACCAGAACATCTCCTCACAGAGCCCAGAAGTTTATCTGAGGAGCATCTGCCGAAGCTCTGACACCTTAACACACGCTGACTGTCTTACACTCATGCTGTAAGACAAATCAGTTCTAACATGACATCCCTTCTACCATCCCAGTACAAATTCTCTCCTGATTCTCAAGGGGTTGAACCTTACTGTAATAAGGAGCTCAATTCACAGTTGTTATGAGTTAAAATTCTATCCTCTCCCACCAACACTTTTCCTAACAAAGATAGAGAAGAATCTACTACCTTGGTTCCCCTTTGAAACTGTCTGCTGTCACTGATCCGTTTACTTCACTCAGCAACGAGCCCACGTTGTACTCAAACAGCCTCTGACACCAGTGGAGTGGCTGAAGCTCTTCTTGCCTCTGACATCCCTTCCGAGTGTCAACTATAGGCAAGCTTTGGTTTTCCTGAAACCATCCCTACATGCCTGCTCTTACTTCTGGATTCCTTCTTTGTAGCTTGTCTCTGCTTCCAACCCTTAAATGCGGCATTTTTCCACGGGAGCTCTGTTTCCTGTTTAGCCAAGTCAGTCTCCTGATGGTTCTTTCTGTGGGTCACTCCTGGGCTTGGAGAATGCTGCCCTTAAAGACCTGCCAGCCTTCTGGAGCTCCTTGCCTCTTCAGAGCTTCCAGCATGAGACGATACCTACTAGTTTACTGGTCAGACCCAAGTATGCTCACCTGAACGCCAACGTCTGTACTCTGCCATCTGCCTTCCTTGCTCTCCACAGGATGCTGAACATGGCTGTTTCATGAGCATGACAGCCAGTGATTACCACCTCACTGAACGACTCTTTTCAGTGAGCAGAAGATCCAGCTGTACATCACTTATGGTTGATCCGTCCTATCCAGAAATTTCCTGACATTGGGACTACTGTGATCAGGGGTGACACCACCGCTTATAGAATCATAGAATGGTTTGGGTTGGAAGGGACCTTAAAGATCATCTAGTTCCACCCCCCCTGCCATGGGCAGGGACACCTTCCACTAGACCAGGTTGCTCAAAGCCACATCCAGCCTGGCCTTGAAGACATCCAGGGATGGGCCATCCACAGCTTCTCTGGGCAACCTGTCCCAGTGCCTCACCACCCTCTCTGTGAAGAATTTCTTCCTGATATCTAATCTAAACCTCCCTGATTTCAATTTGTACCCGTTACCCCTTGTCCTGTCACTACAGGCCCTTGTAAAAAGTCCTCTCCCAGTACCCTTGTAGGCCCCCTTCAGATACTGGAAAGCTGCAATGAGGTCTCCTCGGAGCCTCCTCTTCTCCAGGCTGAACAAGCCCAGTTCTCGCAGCCTTTCGTCATAGGAGAGGTGCTCCAGCCCTCTGATCCCCTTCGTGGCTTGTGTGTGGGTGGGTGGGATGCACACCTCCACGGGAGGAGACAGATACCTGCAGCTGGGCAACGTATTTTCTCCTGCCTGATAAAGTTCCTCCAGCCACAGCAGCCAGATGGCAGAGCTCAGAAGGGAATTGTGTCAGTGTAGAGTGGTATGGTTTCACATGCTCCCCTGAACACTAGAACAGACACTGGCAAATGCCCACCTGAGATGCCCGGGGGCAGCCTGGATGTGGGCTGGCATGGATTTACATTGTCACTGACTGCAGAGTACCAGCTGTGGTCTTGCTCGGCTCCCGGAATTCCTTACCACACTACTACTGGGCATGCCAGAGGCACTGCCTCCTAGTCCTAGGAGGAGGTGCTGCCAAAAAAGATCAGTGAAAAACCCCCATCATCTGACCTTCAAAGTTCCCAGAGTAAAGTATATGGAACACATCTGCAAAGAGAACAGTTTTTGAGAGCTCTATGGTCCAACTCTACACTCGCACCGAGGCACATACGTACATACCACTCTGCTCTACTGCCTAATTGCCTCTCCCTCTTCACTGACACAGATGAAGGCCAATCCTTCATCTCCTTTACCACCATTTAATGCCTCAGACAGAAAGATTTTTAGCCTTTCCGGCCCCTCCTAAGTAAAATCGGAGGAAGCCTCCAAAGCCTCAGACTTTCCTGTCTCTTTTACAGAGTACTTGGTTGTGTGAAATCAGAAACAATTGTGACTCCTGCTCTCCTGACATAAAAACTCAGGCCCCACTGCCAACAGCTAGTTCCTGTTTCCAGTTCTTCCAGTGCCTTCAGATCAACTGCCATTCTCAATCCATTTTCACCCAAACCAAGCCACTGTCAGCACAGAGCATAAACACCTAAGAACTGCCAGACCAAAGCCAAACTCTCTCAGTACTAATCACTGATACCAGGCAGTAGCAGAAGCTTAAGAGTGTAAGAAGCTACATTCGGAGTGATCCTTCCTCTGGGGCACTGTATTTTCTTCTTCAGGACACCCCACAGGCAGACCCCTCCGTACCCATGCAGAGTTCTATACTTGGGAAAATTCCCTGCGTACACACATGACCAAAGCAGCTGAGGAGCATCCAGCAGATTTTTTTTAGATTATTTGTTCAAACCGAGGTTTTTTGTACAGCTAGGCATCTGCATTAATCAGTAAGTGTGCCTCAGTCCTCTGAAATAGTTTTCTGTGGATTAGAGAGGAGAAGGAATACTGATTCTGTTGTTTCCCTTACTCATCCATGACACAACTTCTTAAAGACTGTGAAGGGGAAAGAGAAAAGTCAGTTACCTCTCACAGCTATATGGAGGGGACACTAAAATAGCCATTTCAGATAACTGGGCAAGGAAGAGTCATAAACATAATTCAAGGCCTCCTAATAACAAGCAGGATTTCTAGTGAAGAGTCAGCAAAAGACTAATTTCAAGGATTTGGGCTGGACATACGTGAACCTGGTCAGGTATGTTTAATGGCGTCTGGGGTGAATTTTGCTCATTATGCCTTTTCTTTAGGACACTGGCTAAACTAGAGATGAGGCTCACTGACAAGAGAACCATACTGGAAACAAAACTGAAAATTTTATCCCAATCAGAACACATGAAGACTTTTACAGCACGTGGGGTTTTGCTGGCAGCTGAATTTCAGGGATGCGCTTTCAGGTATATGAAGACATGACTCAGGCCTGTGATCATCTTCCTTACCAATTCAAATTTCAGTCAACACAATGATTTTCAAAGAAGAGAAAGAAAGTACCTAAGAGAGAGTTATCAGAGACTGGACTCTCTCAAAAGTTGCCTTAACAGGCTTCCTCCTTTTCAGACTGTTTCCACTAACAGAGATCCTTGTGGTCCCCTTCTGTGTTCCCTCTATCACATTCCAATTCTCCTTCCCTGTCTCCCACACCATCTCAATGTAATCCTCAGTTGCTCTCGCACTTCACGCTCTTGTAGTCTTTATTTGTCAGAAAAGCTTGTTGGGAAGTTGGGTAGATGCCCACACTGCTTTAACATTGTTCTTTCCCTCTGTGCTACAGCCAGCATGCTCGTGAAACAGAAGTGACGTAAAACACGTGCATAACCTCGTCTAAGAAAAATTCTGCCTAAAAAATACCTCACCAATATATTTTGAAATTATTTTCTTTTCCTTTTTATTTTTTTTTTTCCCCATGAACTGTGGATCTGAAACCTGTGGGAGAACAGAGTTTTAATAATTTCAAACTGGGTATTACCTGTATCTTGTAACAGACTCCTCTCTGTCTACATATTAAAGAGCACAACGGTTTTGCCTTGGTTCAGTCTACTCTGCTTGGCTCTCCACTGTTCTAAGCTAAAGCAGAGCAGAGGTACAGGTTTTTCATTTGGGTATTCACGTAGATCTGTACCTTACCTGTGCTATGAAAGACAACACTTCATCAACCACACACAGATGTCCTTAGGTTTTTACCTCTTGTAACACTTCTTGTAAAACTGAAGCTAGACCTTTGCAATTAAGCTTGTGAGAGTCCTAATGAATCTGTCTGCCCGCCCTGAAGGGATGTGGCTTGTTGAAGCATCCGCTCTCGGCAGTTTTGATTTAAGCAGACACCTTGGAACACACAGCAGTGTTACGTGCATGTAGGCGCATAAATGCATACGCTGTCCCCAGCGCTCATCAGCCTCATGCATGTACTTACCTTCAGGGTGTGCAGGGTGTCAGTCCATTCCATGGCACCAATCTGAGGTATAGCAGTAAGGAGTATGCTAGTAGCCTTATTTGCATTCCCTTTCAGTGTCTTTAAAACTTTATCCACTGAAACCTAGAAACACAATAAAACCAAGCGGTGTCTCTCAATTTTGATGGCACACATTTGAAATACTAAAATAATTTAACTCTTACACCTCTAAGTGAAAAGGTGAAGCCTTAAAATGCCACAATCATTTTAGCCAGTGAAAACTTCTTTGCGGGTGTGTCCGACTGTATTTTACACAAGTAAGGGAACTAAAGCAGATACATAATTTTGCACAAAGCTGCTAAAGAAAGAACACCAGACCAATTATGGGAAGACAAGCTCATACACAGCACTCGGGAGCTTCATACACACAGACTCTCCGATTCAGACAAGAGGAGACAAAAATTTTGGTAGCAGTGAGGCAAATTTATGAAAATGAGGTAGCAACAACTGACTCTGTTCTTACTTTCACAACTGTTCATCCAGAGTAACTCAGTGATACGGGTGCTAAGAACAGATCCAGTTTAGCATGTGATCTCTCACCAAAACCTACAGCTTCTCATCCAGATCCCTCAGGACGAGACCGAGAGGAAAAAAAAAATTCACTCACTGCTTCTTCATGTTCCTTCCAACAGTCATAATCTGTTGCCATGGCAATACTAGCATAACACATTCCAGCTTCTTTTGCAAGAATCACTTCAGGCACTGTGGTCATGTTGATAACATCAGCTCCCCAGCTGCGAAACATCAAGCTTTCTGCCCGAGAACTGAAGCGTGGGCCTTCGATCGTGATCATTGTTCCCTTGGAATGACACTGGAGCCCAAGCTTCTTCGCAGTCTCAGTAAGAACCTGCAACACATGCCAGTTTCAGGAAAAGGAAATAATTCCCCTGGTGCACCGCTTCTGCATCCCATCAAAAAAACTTACACACGAAAGAAATGAGTTTTATGCAAAGCAGACAAGCTTCATACGGCTACAGCTGTCCAGTAGCATGGATCAGTTTCAATTTCCTTATCGGGCAAGAGAAATTAATGCACCTACTCACAGGAACGATCTTGAGCTCATCTGATTTGGTTAGCATCAGCTGGACTACTGTTTTCAATGTAGACCAAGAGGATTGGAAATGGAAAATTTGTGCGTGTTATTTAGGTTGTGCTTCCACCGAGAACAGAACGGTGGAAACGCTCCACCGAGCGCTACAGTACCCCGGTGGAGTTGAGCTGGTGAGAGCAGTAGTAAGAAATTTACTTTTTGAAAGTCAAACCTTACAAGCGTATACTTCAAAGACTACCCTGGGAATCTGTAGGGACTATCCCATGCCAGTGACTGAGCTGTACACTTTACACATACCACGTACTTTGCATTAGTCTTTATCGTCTCAACTAGGAACTTGTATACAGCAGAATCATCACAACTTTCTCTGTTGGTAAATGGCCTGGCGAACACCAGTCGATACAGCAGGGATAAGTGTAAACAGGACTAGGACACCTGCAACTGTCCTGAGCCTGCCCTCCAGCCCGCTGGACAGCCTGCCAAGCAGCGACACCTCGAGCATGCTGTGTGACCGTGTGGGGTGCCTCCTCGCTGGCACGTGGGACGGTGGACTGTGTGGAGCAGCACAAGTACAAGCTGGAGCAGTCACCCACATCACCCACTGCAGGCGTGTGTAAACAGGTAAACCTGCGCTCCCAGAAGAGGGTGGGTGTGCACGTAACCTGCATGTGCTGGGAAGGGTATTTGTGCGTGCAACTGCGTGAATATGTGTGTAAGTGTGAGGCAGTGCTGCTAGGGATCCGCCACAGAAGGACACTTGCAAATGTGTAGGTGTTCATTAACATGCTGTAAGTTAATCTAGTATTAATCACACCTAATATTGTGGGGTTCTGCTGCATGTATGGTTCACTGACTGACAGTTAATTACACGTTGTTAATAAATCAACAGACAAGTTCAATTGTGATATGACTTAACCCACAGTTGAGCAGCATTTCCCTGAAACTCTTTACAATGTCCTGGCTTTACTCCCTACAAAGTGTTGCAGCGAGCTCCAGTTTCTGAAAGAAGTAATAACCCAGGCACCCAGTGTTGTTCGAAATTTTGGTGTTGGAGAAAAGATAAAACTCCTTTCAGATTCTCATTTAATTTACAGTGCATAAACTAAATAAGAGTATTTGCACAAATGCCATTTAGTAATTTTCAGGGATAGTTCCAGGAAAAAAGTTGAAGTCACTTTTACCTGGTATTTTCAAATGAAGTGAAAGTAACCCTTTTCAGCCTCGCTAAGAGCACAAAACCACATGTTCTTTAAAACATCTGTTAGGCTGATTAGAACGCATAGGCTAATGAGATAATGATCACATGTGAGACTGGGAAGTACCTAAATGTTTTTTCTCTGTTTGAAAAGAAGCATTTCTCTGTTGGCTTTTCAAAAACTGTTATAGCCAAAAGAATAGTATCTCTAGATACTTAACAATCGTATGAACACTCTCCTTGGCATGTGTTTCCTGCAATGTCAGGAAAAGGCTTATGTGTATCTACTCACCTGTTTTAAAAAATGAGAAAGAGACAGTGTGAAGTGCTGCCAATCACTTCAGCAATAACACGGTTTTTGATCCGTTTCAGGAATTGTACAGTTAGCTCTCAATAAGCTCCTTATTATCTGTTGTGACATGACATCATGCCCAAAGCCAGTAAGTAAGCAATTACACACCAACTAATCTTTGGCAAGAACATGAGGCTAGGCTCTTGTTGCATGAAAAATGCACAGTATTGTGCATAATTTGCTGCTCAATGGAAAAAGGGCAAAAGCACGCACGTGTTACATGTACTGGTTTGTTTCCTCATGGGATTTAAAATGTCTTTATTTCAATGCAAAATGCTTTAATTCCCAGAGCACTGAGGCATTGTTTGACTAACAGTCCTGTGGACCTGCTGGAGGGTACCTTGAAACTGCACCGTGTCTGGCCAAATAACAAAAATAGCCTATAGTGAAGTGAGTCGGTGACAAGAGCCAAACAGCTCAGCAGTACAAATATTTGTACGTGCTCTGGGTACTTATCAGGCCACCTGCCTCACAGTTCAGCTTTGTCCTGCTCAGTGCAGTAACTGCCCACACAGACAGCAAGTCCCTCACATGGATATGACTGATCCTGTAAGCATTCCCGTGCCCCTGGAGAACGTATCTCCCTGCAGCTTCTGATCAGAGCCTTCCACAGCAGCACAAAAGGCACAGTTCCATCTTTGCCTTCCCTTGTCCTCAGGTCTAAGAATACGCCAAGGTGGCATATTTAATCACAGACAGACTCCTCCCAGAAGCATGGAAAGGTGCTGAAAAACAGAGCAGCGTTTCACACTGCTTAGTCTAAGTGTCTTTGAAGCCTGACAATCTTCAAGTGACAAAACTAAGAGCAAAAATTAAGAATAAAAGGCTACTGTAATCTGGCTTGTTTTTATGTTTAACTTCTGTTAAACCAAGCCTTGACACTCCACCGCCACCCACTGCTACAGGGCACAAATGCAATACTGTGATTTCTGTGAATGCTAATGTACTATCTATTTAATTCTTTGTATTTAGAGTGTAGAGTGTCTCTACCACAGGTGCAGTTTTATTCAGAACAAAAAGGAAGTAATTCCTAATTCTACCTCCCTGCTTTGTCTGCCTGTTGCTCTCCTGGCTTGTCACCTGTTAAATAAAGGCCTTTTGTCCTGTTACGAAGACCTAGACTGCGGACTGACACCTTCCTTGGGAAGACAGCTCCTACAGACACAAGATCTTTTACTTCCCATGCCTTCCAAGTGTTAAATTTTTCCTTAAAACTGTAACCTATCCGGGAAACAGGAATAAAGAGGTGCAGATTACCATTGCATTCTAAGAATGCATAATTAGACTACTACATAATGAATAAGTGCCATAAAAGTAACATTTCTAAATACAATTACAGAATTCACTAACCCCTCTGGTTTTGGTGCAGAATGGCTCTGCCATTGGAATATGGCATACTCCTGGAAGAGTGGAATGCTGCCCATCGTATAAAGTACAGTGTCTCCTAGTTGTCCTAGAAAAGCAGAAAACATGCTCAGAGAGAAGAACAAGGAGAAAACAAGAGAGAGCAAGAAATTTACACAAATCCAAACCCACAGCATTCCTGGGAGGGAACAAAAATATCAGTATGATATTAATGACCACCTGTAATCCTGTTTTGCCTCTGTACAAACCTATCGGAGTTGAGCTCGAGTATAAGCCTGTTAGTCCAACAGTGCACTGTCAATTAATTAGGGAAAATCTATTATTAACAGGACGCTGAAATGCTTATTTGTTACTAAGTGAGACAAACAGCCACATTATCCTGTGATCCTATCCAAAAGAGATCAGCTAAATTTAATCGTCAGGCAGATAATCTCAGGAAAAAAAGAATACAGTAAGCTTTCAGGAAAGGGAAGGAATAAAGTCTGAAATACCACAAAGCTAGTCAAAACAGACCTCGTTCATATCACTACATTTCTACACTGGAAGATGGGAATTTGTAGGAACAGCTTCCTGAATGGAAGAGGTGTGAATTCAAACAGAAAAACCCTGGAACAGGATGTCTTCATATTCCCAGAAAGATTACACACATGCATGGCAGCGTGCAAATAGGAGAATCCCTCTTCTCCATTCTTTCAACTGAAAAACTTGTTCCCTTGCATAGAAATAGTCAAAGATGCTGCAGAAATTACCATACAGCATGCCATTCTGACAGCACCTGCTATCACTTTACCTTCACATGCACTGTCTGTAGCTACTTCAGCAAACTGGGTGGTGAAAACCCTCTGGAACAAAATTCCCTTCTTCGCCCCAGTGTGTCACATATTGTACTTCACACGAGAAAACTAAGGCAACAGACTTACAGAATTTCTGCTGGTAATACACTCACAACCGTTCCCCAACCCAAGTCACCAGCAAACATTTAAAAGAAGGTTTTAAACACAAGTTTTGTGTTACAGAAGATTCAGGGGGAAAAAAGAAAAAAAAAGAAAAAAAACCCAAAACACAATAGGGTAGCCTTAAGCATGAGATTACAAAATAGGAAGAGATCAGCAAATTAAAAACATAAACAAAATGGGACATAGTTGTTAAAATCCACTGAAATATTATTTCCTTTATGGAATACTGAAGAACTACAAATAGAATGGATCTCACTTTACAAACTTTTTTTCAGTCTCTGCTAATGAATTACTTAGAAATGGAGAAAATGGGAAAAATCATACTCCATTTCATAGAATCATGGAATGGTTTGTGTGGGAAGGGACCTTAAAGCCCACCCAGTCCCACCCCCTGC